ATTAAGGCAGCTCAGCTTGAAATGCTGCTTTGTCTCGTTCTGGATACAGACCACAGTGGGAGATTATCTGTTTATTTCAATCTTCTCACTGTCTGTAACTGCATAGTTGGTAATACAAGAAGAATAGTTGTTCACATACATATTTGTACCATTTCAAGTGGCTTAGGGAAAAATCTAAGCAAGATTAGGGGGAGATTGGCGAGAGAAGAAGAGAGAAAGAAACTTGGTGGATGGAAAGAAAGAAGACAAATTGGAGAAGGAAATTATTATAATTCCTGATTTTTCCTCATCTTCACATTTCTCTCTTTCACCTCTTTAAGGCAGATATATGACATAGCTGTGTTGTGAAAATGGTGGGTTTGCTGTTCTTCCAGATAACCCCAGAGTTAGGTCAGTTTTCCAGCTAATGGGGAAGGAAGAGGACCTTGGGAGAGGCCCTAATAACAGAGCGGGATGGCTTATACATCAGTCTCACTCACCACACCAACCAGCCTGGCTCCAAACACAGCCCCCCAGACCATATAACAGCACATTAGTTGCAACGCATAACCGCTCAAATTGAACATTTCTGATTTTGGTTCAGCTTTACCCTCTGAGGCTCCCTCTTTCTCACTTTCTCCTTCCCTTATCTTTACTTTACTTCAGGCCTCTCCTTCATTCCCATGCCTTTAAGTTTGAGGTTCTTCACTAATTCCCATACACTGCTGTAACAGTAAAGTCACACCAAATTCTCAGAGCTTTATAGGGGTTAAGCTCATGTCCCTGCGTGATTTTTATCATCACAAGCCAAATACAGCTGGATGAGGATCAAAGGCTGCTCTCATGGAACATTTCTGTGCGGAGATTTGTTGTCTGGACTTCTCAAAGGCACCTTCATGTTAACCATTTACTGTATATTTTGCCACTAGGATGGCAATTGAGTGCCACTCAGTTGCAAATGAAAAAAAGGTTCCAAAACTTTCAAAAAGTGATATTATAATGGTTGTCAAACATCCAGATTTTTGATGTGTGTACACTGACCATACCAATATGGCCTTTAAATATCACTACTGACATGCGGTTGAAATATGTGCATGGCTCTATAATCCAGCGTTATATTGCTTTTTAAGGTACTAAGGTAATTAGGGTTTTTAACAGTTGAGATAATCGTTGTTTAATAAAAAACAATGGGCAGAGATGGTATCAGTGCACAAAGTGGTTCTGGGTCTCCATGCATCCTGGAAAAAGACAGTTGACCAATTCTCCAAGCATGAAAAACACCTGTAAAAAAAAGAATTTTGTGTTGTCCTGGAGAATTATTTTAACATTTATTATGGGAACTTTAACACATCCCCGAGACATGTCATATCACATGTTGGACAACAAGAATGAAGAGGAAGCCTGGGTCCAAAAAAAAATTAATGAAGCCCAGCTGTATGTGCATCAAATACCAGCTAAAATCTGGCTAACGACGCTTTTTTTTGCTTTGCTAGAATTGTCTTTTCAAACTCAATGCTACAATTAGGTAAAATGGACCGTAACATGCCATGAAACCTTTTAGCCGTAGCTCACAGTGGGTTGTGATTAGCTTTGTTAGTAAAGAGGCTAACATACAGTGTGATTTATTCCACGGCTTGGTTTAATTTCCTATTGTGACATGTTCTTTAGAACAATTAACTTTTGATATTTGCACACGTGTTTATATATAAGTTTTTTGAAGGTATTGCACTTGCATATCAATACACCAAGTTTGTTGTGACAATTAAAGAAAGTGTGGCGCTGTGACAGTGGACATACATTAGAGCTAAAGACCACAGTGATTTTAGAAAGCTAACGTTCAGCAGAATGCTGGAATTTGTCAGTAGCCAAAATTGTTGGCTAGTATTTGTGTTGAGGCTATTCAGTTAGTGGTGTAAAGGCAGCAGAGGAAAAAATATTATTCATAAGAATAACACTTGCCAAGCATAGAACACAAAGGTCTTTCCAAAAGAAAATCACAAAAAACAATGGCAGTATTATTAAAAAAAATAACAGTAGTAAAACAATCCAAGATCAATTTGTCATTATTTCTACAGATGTAATAGATGATTTCATAGATAAGTTACAGACACAGACTGCACATCTTTTAAATCAGACCACTGCAGAGAGGAACATACTACTGTATGACATGATCCCTGTCTGTCATACCAGCTAGATCATCACTGAAAATGTTGTGAAAAGTCCTGGAAAATGATCTCAAAAAATGGTGGGAACCCTGATATTATTGTTACAAAAACAATATGTCACCTCAATACTTAAATTTTGGTAGGTAATTAAAATTGCCATCGTTGCTAACGATGATGAAGATGCTAACCATGAGCTCAGGTCAAAGTCAGACCCTTTTTCAGAAACTAGTATCAGTCTTTATTTCATCTGAAATTAACAAAATTGAAAGAAACATTTTTTTCTACTATAATCTAAACTTTTCAGTGATTCATACTGGCATCCAGCATCCTTATAATACACTCTTCCAGTTAACATATGGGAGACAATCAGTATCATGATCCAGTCAGGGGCTAGAATGATAACTGCAAGAACCACTGATCTAAACTGACACAGGTGCTGTGAAAGGGCCTATTTTTAGGCCGTCATTAATAAATGGATGTAATACAATTGCTTCCCTCTGTTACAGAGAAACATTAGAAAGCTAATCTCAAAATTACTCTGCAAATCATCCCAGATATTCCAGATGATTGTCTCAGTGAAAGAGAACTAACAGATGTGACCTAAATAGAGGAGAAATAAAGTGGAAAAGAGAGAAATTGAAGAAAATGAACTTCTGATTAACTTCTCATCAAGTTGGACAATGGCCTTATCTGCAAAAGTAATATCAATAAAATCACCTGTGCCACTGTTTGCTCCTGGAAAGAAAAATCCTAAGAGTAGACAGACCCAAAATTGCAGTAAGTAAAAAATACTGTTCCTGAAAATACTACATTTTAGATTCTATTTATATTATATTCTTCTGAAAATTGTGCAACTTTGCTTTCTCCATATAATTTTTATAAATTTCCTCATGGTACTGCTTTCCCTCTCCCCTCCTCATTCCCCTGTATTCCCATGTCCAGCCCCTCTATTGAACTCTCACCTGGCTGCACTTGGCTAGCTTTGTGTTAGTGGAGCTAGTGAGCTGCAACATCCCCTCTCCTCTGTCCTTTGTAAACCACAAGAGCTTGTGTTTCTTTAAGCCTATCAACCCAGAACACAGTAAGAATTTAGACTCACCTTGGGGCCAAGACTCGCTATAATACATTAAGCTATACTAGACAGTATAATGCAATGCATCATGTTGGGAGCCTACTGGAACAAATCAGCAAGTAATTTTGGGTCCCATAATAAAACTCAAAAACATGAAAACAAAGATGAAGATATTCTCAAGAAGGGACAACAAAATAGTTAGCAGAGGTTATTAGTTATTGTTTGAATAGAAATTGAACATCAGTTTAATAAAGAGATATTATAATGAACACGCACTTATCTTTATTGCATATTAAACCTGCAGTGTTACATAGTTTGTAAAAATCTTGAATAACTCATAAAGCTGCCAGCCTGTTGTTGTGGGCCTGTTCCTTAGCCTCCAGACACCCTCACTAACATGTGCAGAGGCCCAAAGCGCTGCTCATTAACAAAGCTCATTTCACAAGCACCACCACATGTTACCATCCTGTCACAGCACGTGAGAAACAACACATTATCACCAAATTAACATGACTCTGTGTCAGACACCTGGTCCTGTTTGACTGCAGACTTGCTCTCCTCACACTCCCCGACTGTCAGCCTGCACGCCACATATGACAATAATGTTTTCAAGTTGTAAATTCAGGAATAAATGGTTTATAAGCTTATCTTTCATTTTAGATGTGTTGCTAAAACACATTCAAGTACTGGATGAACAGGGAGGGTTTGTACAGTTGTGTCACTGCACATGCTTGCATTTTTTGCAATGTGAATGTGCGACGCATGCCGTCAGTTGGCTGGCAGCCATTTGATCATTCATCACATTAAACTATGCCAGCCTGCACTCACAGATACACACAGACACTGGGTCAGCCTGAAAAGCTGAATTCACTGTAACGGTGGGATAATTTATGAGTGTTGAATATTTGTCAGTTGTCCACAGAATCAGGAAAGATGAAACCGTTTCAGGTTCCATCCTTCTCAGTCCAGCATGTTTAAGTCCTGTACGGGCCTTTTCATTTGTCTGGAATCACCTTATGACCTGTGTCAGTGCAAACTGAAGCCCATTTTCTGTCTCCTCTCTCCTGTAATGAAAAGCAGAGGGCTGCTCTGTCGTCAGCTGGTAATAATGCAGCATTAGGGTCCACATGGCTCGCTGAAGGGCTCCCTGTTATACATTTAAACCTTTGATCTACAACAGCAAATGTACAAGGCTATCACCAGTGTTTTGCTGGATGGAAGATGGAAAAATTGTGTTTGTATTCATTGTTTTACCTAGAATAGGCTGCAACATTGTGATTATTTATTGTTTATTTCCTAAATAATATAATTAAAGCAGCATTAGTCATCACATTAATGTTTACTTTGTAATTTGACTTTGTTGGACTTAAATATAGCCTTTCTGCGGTTTTAAATTTAGAGACATCATATTGGCACAGAAGGTCTGCGCAAGAGCACTGTGACTGTTGTTGCATTTATTGTTGTTGTGTTTAGCATTGGGTTGGTAATTTACATACTCTGATCCAAATTGAACATGTTATTGTCTGCTGTAGCCGCTACACTGGCGCAGAACCAAGGATTTAATTTCCTGAGAAATGTTTCCACGCATTGTTTTTCTCATTGAAGTCCCAGCCGCACATTTAAGTTTCATCACAGAGAATGGGGAAGCTGCTGACTATGTATAGTTTTCATAGTTTGTAGTATGTTCTTGAGTTGGAGTAGAACTAGTGAAATAGAAATGGAAAGTGGGAGGACACAACAGTCAAAAACATGCTAATAGTCTTCTTCATTTCCTCTGTTTACAGGGTCTGAGTTTCCCCAAGACCCGAGTGTGCTAGCTACCACTACATGGAACACCTCTAGTGATGGTAAATGCAAACACATAAACACAAACACAATATGCAGGACTCAGTTTCAACACATCCTTAACAAACTTCTTTTCAGCAACATTCTAAAAGCTCTGAACACATCTGTTACAAGCAAAACATGATGATATGTTCACAGTTAACATATCATATTAACAGAAAATAACTGTAACCCCAGTTGTGTTGTCTGAAATTACATTCAGTGATGTGTTAGAAATTACACATCCTCTGTGAGTGGTCACCTTCAGCAACCCAGACAGCACCCATTGTCCCAGGATAGGCCACTATAGAGGATAATTGATGGAACAAATTACACATTGATCTACTCAACATGTGGGAATACAGCCACAGGTGCACTGCATTTCCCTAATTTCCACTGACCTACTTTTAGTTTTCTCTTAAGCAAACGCTACATTTGGAGTTTCAAAATGTGCTGATGCTCTCACTACATCTTCTCACACATTGAAGTATCTTTCAGCCCAACTTCCATGGTGACCCACCTACTTCATCAACTTGCTTAGTTACTCTGCCAGGCAACCTCTTCCCATTTGGGGAAAATATAGGAAGTTCGTGTGAAGGAGAAATTTAGTTGTTTGAAGATGTGCTGCAGGAGAAAATCACTGGACATACACTGAACAAAATTATAAATGCAACACTTTTGTTTTTGCCCCCATTCATCATGAGCTGAAATGAAAGATCTAAGACTTTCTCTATGTACACAAAAGGCCTATTTCTCTCAAATATTATTCACAAATCTGTCAAAATCTGTGTTAGTAAGCACTTCTCCTTTGCTGAGATAATCCATCCACCTCACAGGTGTGGCATATCAAGATGCTGATCAGACAGCATTGTGTGTGTGTGTGTGTAATCAATATATAATACTCAATACATAATTTCTTTTACGTTTGACAAGAAAGCCCAAGAAAATTGAGATGCATTGTGGGAATAAAAATGCCTTAAAGGCTGGTTGGTTCTCACTCAAAGCTATGGTCAGCTTATTCCTTCCCTTCCTTAATAAGGAAGGAAAATTCTTGCCAGTTTATTAAAATTATGTATTATGTGGTGAGGATGGCCACGTCTCCTGGAGCTGCCCAGTTTTAGATCAGCAGATCCTGACAGAGGAATCCTCTGTTAGCACTGCAGGAATGACTGAGTCAGATCCATAAAGTTTACTGGATATATCCTTAACAATGTTAACCAGAGTTATCAGTCAAATCTCGCTCTCTCTTCTCCATTTCCCCTGGGCTTGGATAGCCAACATCCGCCAAATCCCCCAAGAAGATACCTCAACATGAGGCTTTATTGAACTTGACCTTTTTTTTTGCTCTCTCATTTTGTCTGTTTAGTTTAATTCATCTCTTGTAAAGCCAAGTCTCCCACAACATCCGTCCCACAGCAGATTCTGTGTACACAAAAACAGACATTGTTAAACATACAGGCAAGAACTAAGACAGTAGTTTCTGGAGGATGGAGCAGTTTATGTAGTCAAGATAATGATTATAGTGACCAACCAAAGATGTTTAAAAGGTCCTAAATACAGTGATGAGTAGTTATAAACAAATCATAGAAACAGCTTTATTTATCCACAACAACATGGAATATTAAAACCTACAAAGGCTGCACGTGTGTATGCTCGCGCCCCTGTGTTCATAGTAGTGTAGCTGTGTGTGTGTCATTTTGAGCTCAGCCCATGACTAACATCTGTTTCTTATCTGATGGATGGATGGTGATTGCACCACTTGTTTTGTCTGCAGGCAGGGAATGGTTTTGATTGACCAAGCAGACAGCATTCAGGTAGCGTGGCTCTATCAGTATGCATCAGTAGCAGGAAGTTATCATGCTGAAAGAGGCTCATTATTGGGCTGAAATCAGGGTGATGATAGTTTACTGAACTTGTTTTCCCTGGGGTTTCATTCTTCCTTTCGTTTTCTTTGTTTCATTTGACCCATTTTGCTTCCCTTACTTCATTTCCTTGCTCTCTTTCTCTGTTGGAGAGTGACCCAACTTTAATGAAATTCACCTTTAGCCATAGCTGGCAGTTACAGTCCCAGCTTCGTATGTTTAGTTAGCTGTACAGCCACTCAGGTTTCTGTGCCGGCATCTTGCTGAGAGCAGCCTGCTTCAGATTTACTCATGTGCGTTATTGAGTATAGACATATATTCACATATAGAATGCAATGTTGCTGGTGAAATGAAAAGGTATTGTGCAACTTAGAACATGCATGATTTGTGTGTTGTGGGTGTGTGTGTGTGTGTGTGTTTACATTTGTGTGCCTGCGTGTGAGTGTTTGATTGTACAGAACCAAATGCCGGTTGTTGATAGGGCACAATTTAGTCGCTTGCCACATTAAAGGTACAGTCCACAGCAATGGTTTGAGTTTCACAGTACTCCTGGTGCCAAATACCACAACACTCACCACAAGACAATTACATACAGAGTGGCTTTGTTACACAGATACTGGCAGGACTTCTTTCTCTTTCTCTTTCTCCTCCTCCTACCTCTCATCTCATCGTCTCTTCTTGTCTTTTCTTTACCTTCCTCTGGTCCCCGCTGCTTTATTGTCAGTTATTATAATAGCTAATGAAGTGTGCAGGCACACAGCTCCAAAGACCATTTTCTTTTCCATCAACTCAACTAATGAGATGGTGATAAAGTGACCTTCTTGCCTTCAGCAAAACATGCATGTCTTTTAAAAGGGAGTCTGTTCTAATTTAATATATAAAGTACCTTATAGATAATATAGTCACATTCAACAGGCACATTAAGGCAGTGAGGTGCATGTAAGCAAGATTCGTCCCACTGCACTATTAACGGTGTATAGGCACAGATTCCCAGCAGACCCCTCATGACTTTGTTTTGATAGTAGTCATGTCAAAATGAAATCCACACCCACACACAGAAGCAAGCATGCACAAACACACTGTCATGCACAATCATGGAGACAATTGCATCACCAGTAGTAATGACCTCCAGGTTTACCAGTGCGTGCACCCCGTGATACTGTTATTTCTTTGTGTGTGCCTAAGGGAGTGTTACAACCTTTTTCCTTGTCTTATCTGAGACACACATTACACACACCTACAACCTAAAATCATGTCCCTCAAAGTTTGGTGATTATAATTTTCTATATGTACTGCATTTATATAGCAATTTGATCCAAAGTGCTTTACAGTTTGCCTCAAACACACACACGTGAGTTGGTTAATGTGACAAATTCAGTGTATTCAACACAGCAGAGTTATCTCTTCCATCTCAGTACTCATACTGTTGTCTCATGACATTTAAAGTGATTACAAATGGTCACATAATTAGACCCTGCAGATTAAATTGAAAAATAAAGATAAACAGCTGAGTAAACAAGTTATGAAAGGAATCAAGTTACACAAATTAACTGCAGAAACTGGTGCACTTAATATTTTCTTTCATTCAGCCTCTCGCCCACACATTGCACATAATATTTGTGTTTTTTCATTCTCTTCTGTCAGAACATCTCTTGGCTTATAATCATCAGAATTTGTCCAGGATATCAATTATGCACCCTCAATTATATGCCACCTATTGTGTTTATTATCAAATTTTGTCTTGATAATCCATTTACATGGCTTGTTAAAGCAAACCGAGGACAAATGAGTCTATGTTGGTTAGGGGTGGGAATCTCTAAGCACCTCACAATTCGATTACGATTCTGGGGTGCGATGCAATTATTAAACAATTATCAATGCATCTTGATGCATCTTTTTTTCTTGAAGCATAAAATCCAAAAGAAATGTCTCCTCAATTACTTAAAAGGACTAGTTTGCATCCCTAATTTACTTTTACCAGGCTTGATTCCTCCTCGTCACCACCGTCCTTTTTTGAACCAGCTTTCAGACCTCTGAAAACTGAAATATTTAACAGGATGTAACATACAGTATGTGTACAGGATAGAGCTGTACACCTATTTAGCTCATACCTGATGTTCTCAACCGTGGGACTTTGTTACTAATTTAGCTGACGTTAACTTAGATAGCAGCTGAAAAACATGCTGTAGTGAGACGTTAGCTAGTACTAACCGCCTTCACTTTTCCAGCATTTGGGGAAACAACAGACTTTATTAACGGTCATACTGTGACCGACACTGGACATTTACTACCAGACTGAAGCTTACTAAGTAACTTAATATTTTCCTCCACTAACTTTCACTGTCACTTTCTGCCGCTCTCTCTCTCTCATTCGCTCGCTACACACACACACACACACAGAGCCAGCCAAGCATTGAGTGTAGCCGTGCTGCACAGTATGAGAGTAAAACTTGCATGTGCATTTTTAGTAGGGTGATCATTCGGGCGCAATGCGTGGAATACAGGCAAAACACTGGTTATGTGCACATCACAGACTGTCCAGGTGCTGAACTTCCACACTTCTGAGAGTTCAGCTTTTTGTGTTCCGTGAACATTACGTTATCAATTAACATTTAGATAATCAATTTTTGACATTTGTTAATCGATTCAGAATCTTCCACGTCCGCATCGCGATGCATTTAAGAATCATTTTTTTCTGTTACTGTTCTTTAAGTTTGTGTGTGTGTGTGTGTGTTGGTGTGTTGATATCCTTCTTCAAACTTTGTAGAAGAGCAATAAAATGAGAATACCTAATGTGTTTTTATGTCTGAAATTGTAGCACATAATTAGGCAAATGTGTGTAGGAGTAGGTTGAGACAGGAAAGAGTAAAGGGGGAGAATGAAAGTTGGGGGTGGTATGGATGATTGATGTTGCAGTAAAGTATGGCATTATTAGTACCTGCAAAATGTAATGTTTATTCTTAATGCCATCCCGATGTTTTGATTGATATGAATTTTATTGGCAACGTCAACGTTGACTTGCTTGAAGTTTCGTTCTGACTGCAGTGCTGTAATGTAGAGAGACGGGACTGTACAAATAAGGGAGACTGTTCTGTATGTAGAGAAAGGAGGACAGATAAAAAGTGGGTGAGAAAGGAGAGAGGGGGTGGTGGTATGGCCGATGGTTGGAGTCTCCTCATATTGTCACACACTTGTTAGTACCACATTGCTGTGTTAAGCCTGGGGCTTTAGGGAGGACAGTGTGAATGTGTGTATGTGTTGTACACTCCAGTAGAGGCTTGAGTACTCACACATGCGCGTGCGCACGCAAACACACACACACTCACACAGAAGCTGTATGCCAAGACAAATGTGTCCACTTCTCTTTTTCACAAACACATCGTATACACTCATTTTACATCTCATGACAATTTGCTAGCGGCAAGAGTCGGATGAACTGTACATACAACCACAATGGTTGCGATGATGACAGAGAACCAAGTAACAGCACCAACATGCTCCAACTGAAGTGGTTTTGTCATTTTTTTTCTTTGACAATTCCAATAAAGTTTAGTCAAAAAAGACAACCATGTTCTGTCAACAATGTTGACAAAAGAAGAGAAAGACAGCACTACTTTCTGAAATTCTACAATAAACAGAGAGTAAGAAAGGAAGAAGACATAGTCTGTCTGTTCTGCAGCTGAGTTCAGTTTTTCTATCACAGCTCAGTCTCAGCCAAGAATACAGTTAGCCTCAATGTGTAAAATACTGCAATAATATTTAAAAAAGCTGGCAGATAATCATCCCAATTTTGTTGTGGACAACCAATTCAGGGTTAAATTTGGGATTAATCTGTACAGTGTATATAAACCAAACCAAACACAGTAAAAATATTTGAAATATTTTGAAATAACACTTAAATGATGTGTGCACACAATCTGTATCGGCAAAGGGGAGAGGTCCTTTCGTCATATCGGTGTATGTGTGTCCGGCCCACAGAAAACACACAACAACACAAACATCAGTAATTTAATAATCCCTGTAGGAATTTGCAATCCTGCGAAGGCAAGAGTAAATGCAATTTTAAAACGGCCAGGCATGTGAGAACTGGTCGTTTTGTCCAGTTCCTGCAATCATCCTGATTATTTCCCTTTTACATGGTCAAATTTAGAGTCGCTATAAGTGGACCACTTCAGACTAAATCAAACTTTGACCTCAAAACATTAACTGTCTTGCATGAATGTTTAATTGCTTTACATTGCCCCAAATCTGGCTTCTAAGGCAGCACTTAATCCCATGGTCAATTGGTCTGAGAGGAATAACTTCAGGGCAGAAAAGCTATGTGCACAAGCTTCATACCAGCTATGACTGGACTTAACATAACATGTTTTTCCTGCTGACTTGCATTTATTTCTGTACACCTTAATAGACAAGAGGATAAAGATATATACTGAGAGAGCAATAGACAGAGACCAGCTTTGGAAAAGACAGCAGTGCTCTTGTAGGAAAAAGCCTTGTTGGGAAGCAAGACCTGGCTACTGTAAAATGTTGTTTTGTAAAGAGTTACGTGTTAGTCTTCCAATAAAACTTTACCTCAGACTTTCCTGGATGGTCATGTGATTTCCACAAATGAACAGATGTCTCAAATATCTCTAATCAGAAAGCTATATATTTAGATTTGTAACAGACCTTAGCCTGCAGTGCAGAACTTTTCTCTCTTCTGATTACTCAGTGAGAGTAATTACACAACACGGTCGACACGCACTTATGACGTATAGGTTCTGGCTCTGCCATACTGAATTGCTGCTGTTGCTACGGTTGATAAAACACATCACTACCAGTTCGCCAGCGCAGGGACGTTGCCACAGACACCATATTTTAAAACTCCAGTATATTTCATATACAGAGAGATTTACTTGCCAGTGATAGGCCTAATCAGCATTGTGTAAACTCGTTTGGCAAGGCCTTGAATGTAACAGATGTTCATTTATATGCAAAAGACCCTCACTTGCTTTAAATGCAAAAGTTATGTTGTCCAGTGCAGAGATGTCATAACTAATGCATTTGCCTGGCAAAATAAACATTTAAATGTGTGGGGGTCCTTGCATATGTAAGTGTGTGCCTCTATTTTTACTCCTCAACCTCTCTATTCACACACAGTTGAAGTTTGTCTGACTAGTATTTGAGATTCCCCTGTATGTGTTTTGCCTCCTTTGTTTGTTTTGGCCAGTTTGTGTAGGAGCATTTCTGCATACCTAAGATGGGTTTTGGGGTTGAGGGAACTTTCCAGAGGTTTTTCCTGACATTAACACCAATGTTTTTCCTGCTCATTAAACTCTTAGGTGGCCCTCCAGATTGTTTTTTTTCTGACCACCTTGAGGAAAAATGTGGTCCTGGAGATAACCATGCAAAAATATTTTGCTTTGTCTTTCCTAACTCCTTCTGAACTAATCTTTGTCTTGAAGCATCACAGTGGGTTCTGATTTATTCCTTATGTTTATTCCCTAAGTAGTTGTTTTGTTTGTTTTTACCCACACAACACAGGTGATGTTGCTCATAAGCTCATACAAAAGCTGGGGAAAACCCCAAAAGTAAAAAGAGTAGAAAAGTAAAATTAGGCGTCACCACAGTGGCAACCACAAAATAAAACAGGATTTAAACATGTGTCTGAAAACATTGAGTTGTTTTACCACTATTTTTATACAGCAGCATGTTTTCTTTATATCTGGCATTGATGTAGTACAGTGTAGTTTGATTTATGTCTTAGTTCTTGGCCTTACACTGTTTTCCCTCATCTTTGTCTTGTTCTCTCTTAGTCATCTCACTCTTGATGTTTCTTCACACTTGGGCCCCCTTTTAAATTTTTATATTTTTTTCCAAATTCCGCTCTTCTGCTTTTTCTTTATCTCTTTCGTATTCTGTCATTTCATCTCTCCTATGCCTGCATGTCTTCCAGGGCCCTTCTTCATCCGTCTTGAAGCTCCCATGAACAACATCACCACCTCTCTGGGCCACACAGCTGAGCTTTTCTGCCGTGTGTCCGGCAACCCGCCGCCCGCTGTGCGCTGGCTAAAGAACGACGCCCCGGTGGTGCAGGAACCACGACGGATCTCATACCGATCCACGCCTTATGGATCACGCCTCCGCATCCGCAACCTGGACACTACTGACACTGGCTACTTCCAGTGCATGGCCACCAACACCCAGGGTACCGTTTCCACCACAGGCGTGCTGTTTGTGAAATTCGGTAAGTGGAGTTAAGCTGATACCAAGCATTTAAAAACGTACTGGCATAGAGATGTTACAATGAAATGGCTTTAGGACTTTATGGTTTTTACGCACTTACTGTGACAAACAATGACATTTTCCCTACTCATCTTTTCCTAACAAAGATCTGTCTCCTTTTAGCGACACTCGTCTCATCTGATTCTTGCTTGTTGCTGGTAGCTCCTGCAAAGAAAAATCTGGGAGCAGTATTGTTTATCCTGTTACCCTTGTCTTCTTTTCCAGATCCATTACCTACACCTCTGACAGGAAGGCCAACGTAAGTTACTTTTCCTCTATCCATTTTTCTCTGTCTGTGTGTTCATGCTATACTTACCACAATGCAATACAGGGGACTGTTTCACAAGTGTTTTGTGAGCACTACTCACATGCAAATGGTGGCAGCATCACGTTTCACAAATCATTGTTGCTTGACAATTGCAGATAGATTTGTGAGTCCTACAGATTTCTTGAATGACGCACGCCCGAATTGTATGTTTTTTGTTTTGATTAGTGAAATGTTCTAAAATCACAAAGAAGAGAGAGAAAAGGGATAAACTCATATGCCTATACTGATAATACACTGTTTGCTGACACAGTCTGAAAACTGGAAAATGCAGCATTATTTTTCTATCTCATGTTTCTCATAGTAATTAATTGCCTGCTTGGATAGAGCCTATGCAGCATGCTCATTGAGCAATCACTCACATTATAACACACCTCGGTCTGCAATTTTCTATTTTATTGGTACAAGTCTCAGTGTGGCTAAATGAATATCTAAGATGATCCTTTAAATCCCAAATGTCTGATGTTGTTTCTGTCCAACCATCACAGCTGTGTAAACCAGATGTTGACATCTATAACACACTATACAGCGTCTAACATACTGATCCTGGTAGTAGCAGGGAAATTTAGTTAATTTACTTTTGACCTACTGTAAATTCAAAACCTGTGCTATTTATTTAATTTCAAGGTAATAATGAGACATTTGTCTGATTTCAGGGCTATGATGAAATTATTATAATTAAGAGTGAATGTCCTTAGTGTACTAATGAGTTTAGTTGATTAACTGAAATATTTCCACCGGAAATGAGCAGTATAGAAAAATTACCTACATATGTCTGTGTGGTTTCTTTAATATAACCTTGTATAATCATCCAGTTAGCTGCCAGCTGTCTGGATGAACAGCAAAACCAACCACAGTCCTGCTCTCTTAACATGCACATCAAATTAAAAAGGGTCTTAAGAGTAACAAATAAAATCAAATGATACAAAATGTTTTTAAAAATGTATCAATAAATATATTCTACTAAAACATTTTTATGTTCTTGGCAATAGCAATGCTGCTGCTCAAATCAAAATTTAGTTTGACTCTGGTGAGCTTCCTTTGCTTTGTTTTGATGTCTCCCCAGTGTTGTGGGATAAAACTCTAAGAACTTTCTCAGTTTGTTTGATTCTCGCAGCATCAAAGGAATTAAGCTGGATGATTTTCCCCAATGACATTATGGCGAGGCTTACTGCCATGTTCCATGCAGCGTGCTGTGAATCAAAACTGCTGGCACAAAGAGGATATGAGACACTTACTAAATCCACTCACTGCCTGCACAGTCGTACACATACGCACACATTTGAGCATGTACGCATACTCCTTTTTTAAAACATCTGTTTCCACCACTCCTTTGTTTACATGTTTTTGACTTTTTTCCTGTGTGACTAAATTGCATCTTGTTTCAGAGATGAGACAGTTGGCTCACAAAGACAACACAATGATATCTTCTCAAGGGAGTTATCAATGGAAAGGAAAAAATATATAGATTGGCCTCCAAAAACAGCAATGTGAAAATACTGGAAATAAACTAAACTAAAATGGAAAAATAAATGTAGATAGTTGCAGGATGTGTTTATGCTAAATTACAAGTTGACATAAGAGATTATCTGGATGACATTGCCAGACTGGCATGATTTATGATCATGAGAAGTTTGTAATGCAGTTTCTCACATCGGATGAATGAATTTGCAACTAATAAAAAGAATGATTGGATGATTAAGTCTTCACCTCTACAATCCTTCTAACAATCCATCTGGAGATTTTGAATTCTGTGTCTGCTATCATTAAGTATGTGGATTTGTTGTTTGTCCAGTGGAAAGCTTTTATCTTCGAATTTTCTGCTCTTGCTTTATGGTGGATTTGTAAGGTAATATTTTAGGCTTGAAAGGTTTCAAAAGTTTTACTTGTGATAAAAATGAGCTATTTTCACAAAAGTGTTTATTTAAATGGATATAGTACCATGAAAATCACCAGATATTCATGAATTTCACAAGTTGCAGGTGATTAAAATCTACAGAGGCTTCTTGCCTCCTTTCCGTGACTTTCAAGTTCTAATAAATTAAGTTCTTCCTCTTTTGTTTTTTTCCCCCCTGCCAACCCATGAAGGAAAGTGTTGCAGTCAGCCGAACCACGTGATATTGAGCCACATTACAGTCATTACAGACTTCATTTAAATGGACAGTGGCCTCCTTTGACAATGGCAGAGCTGCAGGGGTGGTGGGCTGATTGTCACTGCTGCTCATCATTAGTGCCACGGCCAACTTATTAGCTGTAATGTAGGGTGGCAGGCTGTCAAGAAGACAAGGTCACCTAATGATGACACTTGACGACCTGCAGCCGCTTACGTCATGCAGCAGCTGTTCAAATGTCAAAACGTCTGCTCCTTGACTCAAAGTTTTTGGAAAGATATCTTGTCCAGAAGTAAGTTTAAGTGAAATGTATTATATTATTCATATATATATATATATATATATATATATATATATATTAGCCTTCCACTACTTTTTTGTACCTCACACTCTCTCCCATCATCTCTGTATTCAGAGTGTTGCAGCGAGCTCAGTGACTTCCGTTTTCTTGCGATAAATTAGCCACAAATATTACTCACAAATAAAGGGGAAATTTCTTGCCACCCACCTTGTTGAACCTGAACATAACATAACTTCATGTCCTCAGTGTTGTCTTTGCTTCTGTCTGTGCTCTGATTTCCATCCCCTCTACGGTGGGCTTAAGTATACACTCTGTGGTGTGCGGGATATTACAGCTGTGTGTGTGTGTGTGTGTGTGTGTGTATGTGTGTATGTGTCCTCAGGGTTTGGTTTTTGAGAAAAACCACAGGCAAACTAAAAGCTGACAGCCCGGAGGCTTCTACTACAATCTAGGCAGCTTGTGTCCATTGTGGCTGCCTAAGATCAGAGCAGGAAACTGTAGCAGAGCAGATCAGAAATACAGGAAGGAGGAGACAGAAGGACAAGGACAGGAGAGGAAAGTTTGAAGCATAGACATTTCCTTAAGCACAGACATTTTTTGATTCGTTCCAGGGCTGTTTTAAGTCTTTTAAAGAACATCTTTTTGAAGTCTCAAGTTCATAAGGCAGGTCTAAAATCTGTCAGTTAGTCGCACGTCCATGTAGGCTTGTCATGTTACAAGTGTTCATAAGCATATTGCAAGTTAGAATGAAACAGTTCCTTTCAAATCCTGTTTTACATTGTCGTCCGTTGTAGAGAATAATTAAGTGTGTTTGTTTTATGTGGAGTACTATTGGCAAGGACCAAAAGCTTCTTGAAGCCCTGAACCCCCAACACTTAGGCGTTGAGATGCCAACCTGGAATGGCAGCATCTCTTGTTCGAGTCAGACTGGGAACGTTTGATGTTTCTCTCTCTCACTTGTTTCCTATCATAATTTCCTGGTACCACCCAATAAAGCCAAAATGAACATAGTCTCACAGTAACAACATTTCAGGAAGTCACAGCGCTTGTCAAGAGATAGGTGTGGGAGTCACATCTATCTTCTCATTTAACTCTCCGCAAGAAAGCAACAGCGTATTTCCCAAACTATTACTTTTCTAACTTTTCTATTACTTTACTTACTAAGTCTCAAGTCCTCATATTTCTGACTGAAGTCCACGTCTAGAGTCTGACTAATAAAATCTTTCTAATTCAAAGTTCATGAGTATGCCACTAGTTATCACAGTGCACCCCGTCAACACTGTGCCCATGCTCCTCCTCGTCATTCTTGTCCTTCCAAATTCCCTTTCCATTCCTCTCCTCCTTGGAGATGTTTTTAAAAGAGCCAGAACAAACACAGGGTGAGGGGAAAAAGTCTCGCCTGCCAAAATTAGACCCCCAACTTTGTCCGTCTCTCTCTGTCTCTCTGTACGCTGCCACGCTTCCTCCATTTACAGAAAAAAATAGAATGCGATGGAGACGGCGTTAGACTGAAGGGAGTGAAAGAAAAACAATGTTAGGAGGGTAGTAGGAGGATGGTACCATTAACACCCAGGGTTGCATGTTGTTCTTTGATTCCTGGGTTCTGCGGGGTCGTCAGGGTTCAGGTGTGATTAGCTGTGTGGAGGCGACGTGAGGTTTAGCTGTACTCTCAGATCAGAGGTAACTTCTAACTCAGGCCTGCATGCAAACTGCCCACTCTCTACAGAGAAGGCCAAAACAATTAAATGAATCAGTAGGGTGCATTAGAACTTTGTCTTACACGTTAGGCAGGTGGGACAGAGCTGACTTTTATTAGTTATTAATATGACAGTTGAATGACAGAAACAATGTTTCTGCTGCTCCCAAGTAGCCACAATATCAGTTATTGCAGGTTTATCTTCATAATTTCTTGCATGATTTTCAAAACACAGTTGCTTTTATATTTCTAATACTTTGACTTACTGGATATATACATTGTTTTTTATCTGACAGCAGCAATAAACAGACTTTACGCAACGCACCCGCTGATCTGAGTTTCTGTCTGTGTTTATAATAGAGGGGTTTTCTCCCTGTTTGAAAAGATTAATACCACTACACCCTGGCTGTCAAGGCTGTTTAAATTTCTCAAAACTTTCCCCACCACTTTTCTCTCAGCACTAGCAAAAAAAGCAATTACAAAAATAGCTGCTATATTTTTTCTTTTCCCTCCACTGTGCCTCTCTGCTCGCTCCTCCATCCGCTCTGTAGTGAAGAATAAAGAGCACAGGTTTAACAAAGAACAGATTCTCAGTTTTTTCTGGCTTATTTTTTGTCCATGCTCTGACCGTTCTGCTCTTTGCTTATCTTCAATCTTCCTATCATTGGCGTCAACATATGCCAACTTTTTATTTTAAATTGATGGTTGACAGTATTTGGTTCAAGAAATCTCCTCCAAACTTAATATACTTTATTTGAACAATAATTCAAATTTAGGTTTCAGTAAATCTAACAATCCCACATGGCTGGAAGTGCTGGTTTGTTAATGATTAGATTTATATTTGTATATGTTTATGTCTATAGGTATAACTACGTCTGTACTTTTTTTAAGTTTAAGTTGCCAGTTGAGATCTTATTTGGGTAACTTGACATCTCATTTCTCTAATCAGGTGTGTTTAACTGTAATACAGTATAAACACACATACAGTACAACTTTTCCTGCAACTTGTGTGTGTGTATGTTGTAACCAACCAACACATGGTGGATGGCTCTGTAATTAGCCAGCTGTCAACAAACAAACTAGATGAAATTGACCTCGGAGCTGACGTGACAAGGAACATGAGGCCCGTACTGCCATCAGCCCTCTGGCTACCCAATTATACAGTACAGTCTAAGCGTTATAGAGTTAAAAATGAAGGAGTGATTTGACTTTGAAGAGACAGGACTGTAGCGTGTGTGTATCACCCACAGCGTTGCACAGGTTGATTGACAAATTACTTTAAGGAAGTAGTTTCCAAAATGTGTAATGACTTGAAAATGTCACTCTAAGTTGATCTTGAAGCTTGCTTAGGCTTGCTCAAATGTATTAGGTGCCACAATATGTGTGTACTGTTATCATAATAGATTTATTGATACCATGAAACTCTCTTTTCTCTCCTCCTTTCTATTCTACAGCAGCTGTTGTGAGAGGCTTGTACTTACAATGTCTGGGTAATTGGCATCTGATTTATTAAGACGTAAGGTATTTACACAATAAGTGCCTGCTACTTCTACTTCTGGGTGTATTCTGGAGGATGAAAGGATGCCGTCAAGGTGTTTTATCTGGCAAAGATCAGCAAAGGATCCAAACTCCCGATTAATAAATTAACATGTCAAAGCATTTATTTGAGCTGCAATAAAGCTCTTTTACTGAGATAATTATTTAGAGAATATTTTACAGGTATTTTGCTCTGAGCTATATCTTGCATCATCCCTGTCAAGAAATAGACTGACTGCAAATCAACCAGCGGACTGATTAACCAGCATTACCGCTTGTGTGGCATAAATACAAGTTGCAGCAAGGTAAATTTTTTATCAGTATAGTGTGATTGTAAGAGCATTAGCTGCTCAAAGAATATCACTGGTCAGTTTAATGAACACACAGGCGCAACTCTCTGTTCACTTCTCCACCCCTTCTGAATATCAGTTATTGCCTGTTATTGTGTTTATGTATTATCAGTGCAGTCTACTTTGTGGTAGATTCACATTTTATTCAGTCTTATAAAATAATAAGTTATAAAACTTTAGCTTTCCACCCACAGCCTTTTTATTATATCTGCACCTCTTAACCACCTGCTTTTTTACACACAAAACTGACCCTTGCAAGTTGCAGGTACCTTTGTAAATCCACATGTTCCCATGATCCTTCCTTATAGAAATAGTTTGACATTTTGGTAAATACTCTTACTCACTAGATGAGAAGATGCCTCATTCATATCTGTATCTGAACTAAATACTAAGCTACCACCAACAGCTTGTTTGCTCAGCTTAGCACAAAGACTGGAAACAGAGGAAACAGCTAGCCTGGCTCTGTGTGAATAAAATATGCCTACCAGCACCTTTAAAACTAACTTATTAACACGTTATATCTTTTTTTAAATCTTAAAACTAAAATGTTAAAACAGCAACTGACTACCTTGCACAGAAAGCAAGAACAAATAGTCTGACAGATAACATCTATAAAACCACAAATTGTTAATTTTTCACTTTGTTTACGGACTTTTGGACAGAGTCAGGCTGATTCCCCACTTTTTCCAGGCTTTATAATATAAGCTAAGCTAAATGGCTGCTGGCAGTAGCTTCATATTGAGCACACGGATATGAGAGTGGTATCCATCTTCTCATCTAACTGTCAGCAAGAAAGCCTTATCTCCCAAAATGTAGTTTGTTTAAAATGCACACGCATCCTGTTAAGGGTTGCATTTCACTGATGACACATTGGATGGCAAGTACAGTACAGTGTTGGTGTGCCTGTTAATAATAATAACATGCCCCCCCCTTTTTTGTCAAATTCAGCAGATTTTCCTCACGCTTCACTACCTGTCAATTCTGTGTGTGCTGAAAAAAGAAATACGGTGTACACAGCGAATGAGAAACAAAGTGGCTCATGTCAAGCCACACAACAATATTTCCGCCATTCCAGCCATGATTTGTGACTTGCCAGGGACATTCAGCTTACTTTCTAGTTTGCCAAGACATGCTGTTGTTGTGATGTTAGCCATAGTAGCAGGAGAGTTGTATTGCTGTCTGGAGTTGGTGTGCTGGCTTTCTACATGTTGGCTTCAAAGCAGCAGCTGTAGCGACAGTTTGCTAACCCACAACCCAGCTAAGGATACATTACTTGCCATGTCGTTGTTTACTCTTTATCATGGTATTTGTTTTGGTGTTGGATTTCTCCAGAATTTCATACACCACCTTTAAAAACCACTGTCCTCTCACTCTTCCACCCTACTGCCTT